CCACAGAGCCTAGCCAGCAGTCACTGATCGAATCTGCCCACTACTCACAATCTTTGTCCCCTGGGGCTTTGGCGTCCCCGTGGCTGGTGTCAGAAGCTGTTTGGCTACGGCCTCCCGCTGGGTCAGGTCCACGGCACTCAAGGCTGTGCGACTGCCATCCTCGTTGATGACCATGGAAGCTCCTGGGTGCACATTGGGGCCGTTGATGACTGCTTGCCTCAGTTCCTGAACGTTCCAGGGGGTAACTGGCTGAGGGTAGGTCAGCTTTGTGGCAAAAACCTGAAAACAAGGAGTGGCTATGAAAACTCAGGGTAGGCAGAAAAAGGTTACACTGACTCAAAATCTGACTTTTTCTCCAAGAACTGCAGGTGCTGTGTTAGCCAAAAAGGTCCTTCAGGGAGTAAAGCAACATCTTGCCTGTCTTTTCCACAGAGCCATTTTTCCATATTTGTGGTCTTAAGGGAACAGAGATTGGGCCTTCCTTTCCCGCAGAGTCTGACTGAAGAGAATGATCTGCATATTGCAGTTTACACATTAAAATTTTTTTAACTTACTCTAAAACTTCCTCATTTTCTCATTTCTTTATATTCCAATATAAAGAAAAAAGAACACAGAATGGGATGCTAGCTTGAGAGAGGTGGCAAATGCCTGCCCTCAAGTACCACCACATCGCCTTCTACTCCAACAGACATTACTAACTGATCATGACCCCTGCCCTGAACCCACACATGGCTTCAGAATCTCTTTACTCAGCAGTTACGGCAGCCACTACAATCAAGGTGGCATCTGAGATGAAAATTCACATAACCATACCAGAGACTCTGGGGAGTCCTATGCAAAGGACCTTGTTTAACTGTCCAGTTCTCTGCTCCAACAGCACTTTGTGAGAGACCTTCTCCAACACCTCATCCTCTGCTCCTTTCCCTGTAGCCTGTTCTACTTTTGCTGACGCGCTGACTACCACCTGACAGTGTTTACATTTGACAGTGTATTTGTTTATGTGTCTCCGCCATTGGAACATTAGCTTCACAGGGGATACGTTAGTCTGTGTGGTTCACTGCTGAGTCTCTAGCTTATTCTGCAAACTTATTTCGCCTGCTTTGCTCCCATAACACCTCTCCACAGGGCCTTAGGGGTAGGACGTACCACACGGGACCAAGAGGACCATTTCACATGCTCTGCTCCTCATGGCCATCCACTGAGTAACAACTCCCTGCCACCGTGGCCCTGAGACCTGAGCAGGTTGGAGAGGGGCTGGGGGTTAACTCCCGAGTCTCTGTCAGGGAACAAGCCATTACCAAACAAATGAACCCAGATCCAAGAAAGAGATCCAAGAAAGTACCTCTGAAAGTGGAAAGCGGAGGCAGCACTAAAGGTCTCTCCCAAAGCTAGGGACACTCTAGGCACCAGGAGGCCAAAGCCAATGGGGTAGCCCCTGCCCTCTGTCCAGAGAAAGCAACAAACAGCTCATAGACCCCTCCTCTCAGGGCCTCGGACTCAGGAATGGTGCCACTGGGCTTCACAATGCCTTTCCCTGCCACTGACCCAGCTTCCGGATGCAAAGACCTACGGTTTCCAGGAGGTGGTAGGCACAAGACTGACTGTTCTGACTCTTGTCCTCTCGTTCGTTATGCACTCGCCCAGGAAGCCCAAGTGTGCCCGAGAGATGAAGCAGTGCGTACACATGAGGCCATCAGAACAGCTGAGCTCTGCTCATTACCAGCACTCCCCCGAGAGCAGCAGAAGGGGCAAAGCATGAGGAAATGAGACTCTCCACAGAGGGAATTAAACCATCTTCATATTACTGACCTCAAGGCCCATTAAGGAACAACTGCTAATGAGCCCCACAGCTCGAGCTGGTGGGGAAGTGAAAAAAGAAGGTTGGCTCCCCAAGGAAACACTAATGGGTAGATGGGGCTAACTGCTTACCCAAGGACACACGCCTCCTCTCTGGGGCCCACACTCTCTCTCCCTGGCAACCAACATTCCTGACTCCTGAAGCCAGGAGAGTACAAGGGATGGAAATCCCCCTTACCCCCAGACTCATCTCTGTCATGCAGCCCATTTGACTAAGAAGATTTAAAGATTGGTCCAAGACAGGCAGAAGAAAGATATGTGGGCGGAGACACGGAACACCCTACAGTCAGCTCCCTGGTGGCCCAGGAAGTAGGTCTTCCTCCAGGCAGGTGTGAGAGCCGGCAAGGAGAGCAATGCCATCACACAGCCTCACATACCCTCCAAATGACCTGTCCAGGAAGAGGAAAAAGCTGTCCCCATCCCAGTCACCACGATCTGCCACACACTTCCCTAGCTCTTTTAGACACTCCCATCGGCCGCCCAAGGGTAGCAGGTGAGGCCCCTCCATACACACCATGGGGATTCCAATCTCGTTGGTGTTGATGTACAGGTCTGGGCAGATGACCGAGCGAGCTGCATAGTCTACTCGCTTCCCCATCATGTGCTTTCGGAACAAGCCGTCCTTCTTCTCTAAGGTCTTCACAGGGAAACAAATCAACACAAAGTATTAAAAAAACTCAAATATGTTTATTATTTTCTTCTTTCAATACAAAGATGTTTATTACATAACTCTTTCGGCTATCAATGAAGATCCAACTTACTGCTCACCTGTCTAATGCCAGGGTACTTTTCCATCATTAATTTGTCCATCTCGCTATCAAATACAATATTGACGTGGCTCTGAAGGCGAATCCAAATGTTGTATAGTTTGTCTGTGAGGGACTGGCCTGGAAGCATACTCAAAAAGGATCGGTCCATAGTAACTGAAGAGTCTTTTTCCTGGCAAAACATAACCAAGAAAACAGGCATGACGGAAAAACCTCAAAAAAAGCCAGGCTTGGTTTTATTTCCCTTTTTACTCTAGTTCTGACAAATGATGAGCTCTGGAGTGTGCCTTTATGTCTTTTGAAACTGCTAGATCTGTGGTAAAAGTGCTAATAGATCCATCTTGTCAGTATGTATCAACAAAATATCAATCAGCCCCATTACATATTTACCAGACTGTCTCTTTCTGGTAGTAAAATGAACTCGAATTTATAAGCAGTCTGCTTTCTTTTCGTTTAAACCAACACACATTTATCATTTCAGTTTCTGTGTGTCAGGAATCTGGGCACAGCTTCTCTGGCTTCTCTGCTTCTGAGTGTCTCCCGGGCTGTGATGAAGGAGCCAGCCAGTGCTGGGCTCTCAACTGAAGGTTCGCTGGGGAAAGACCCACCTCTAAGCTGACAAGGTCGTGGGCAGGATTTAGTTCCTTAAAGGCTGCCAGACTGAGAGCTAACAGTTCCTAACTGGCTTCAATTATTTGCCACATGAGCTTCTCCAACATGGTAGCCTGATTCATCAAACTGCTAGCAACCGTTGCTAAAGCCCCTTAATATCTAATTTTGAAGGCAACCCAAGAAATTCTTTCTACATCCACACTCTTTTTATGAAGCTCTCTTATCCTGGGAGTTAACAGATTCTCATAGAGTTTCAGCTTTATTTACAGTTTTGGAAAAGCTTGATCCTTTCAAAGCACTTACACAAATGCAGGTGGAAAATTTCCTAAAAGGAAAAAATGTTTGCCATATGATTTTGTATGTCATCAATTAAGATGTGGGTCCCCAACTGGGATATGTCAAGTGACTGGCTGATCCCCAAGCCTCATTGGAATATTTAACCAATCCTTTTCTGTCCCTGGCTTTGCCTCCTCCTCTTCTCCAGTACCTTCCCAGAAGACAGGCCTGAGGCCTTAAGCTGCCTTAGAGCACCACCTATTGATACTATCTGGCCACCAACTGGCCCCATCTGGCAGGGTATGACACAAGAGATAGACAGATGGTCCCATGACCCCCAGCGTGGGTCAGATGAGAGAAGAAACCTGCCAGAGTGTTGGGAGCTGAAGGCGGTGGCGGGAGTTTGTGTGTGGGGGGCGGGGGAGAATGTCATGGAACCCACTAGCGATGAGTTAGGCTTATCCTCACCTGGGGGAATAGAGGGTCATCTTTAGTCATAGAAAGAAGAGACAGATTTTCTGCTCTGGCTGAAGGAGGCTCACAGGGAGAGATGGTCACCTTTTGATGACAGGGGCCCTGTCAACCTAACTCACTGCTATGGCATTACCTAACTCAGGGCCACGTGATTACTTATGAAATGAGTAAGACTGTCTCACTAGGCATCCTCAGTGCCTAGAACAGCACCTGGCCCATGCCAGGTGCTCCCCAATGGAATGTGGGGAGCAAGTTGGGGAAGAAATAAGAACATGTCCTATTAATCGATGGAAAGAGGGCACTGTGGCTTTAGGTAGCAAAGACCTTCCAGAGAGAATACTGTTTATTTCTGTAGAGACTCAGCTTTTTTTTTTTTTTAATAAGACAAAGGCCTACCTTATTTTTAAGGGACAACAAAATAAAATTCTTATCTTTGATCATTTGACCTGGCCATCCAATGGCTTTCTTCCCTAAACTAGACTAGGACCTGCAGATGGCAGATTTTCTCATATTGAGGATTTTTTTAAAGCATACGTACACCAGCAAACCAGAAAACTTAAGCAAAACCAAAGACAACCCCAAACAGAAAGGCTGGGTAACCCAGAGTGAGGACAAACAGTGCTGCCACCTGCTGATGGGCCTGGGTCATAGCAGGACTGTCCCAGCAGCTAGAAGGGAGCCTGAAAGCCCTTCCTATTTGCATCCAGAGAGCATCTCAGAGCTGGGAAGGACCTTAGTGATCTCAGCAACCCTTCTGAGCACCTGATTCATCTTTATAACCCAGGCGCTCGAGGAATGTTTGCTGAAATGGGAAACATAAATTCAGCTCCACCATTTACTGAGGAGGAAGCTGAGGCCTCAAACCTAACAGTCCTATTCTGGGAAATTCCTAGACTCCACAACCCTGCCTTCCTGACCCCTATGTTGGAGATCTTAATAAGCCCCAAACAAAGCTGGGTGACTCAAGATCGAGTACTATAACCCAAGGGAAGCAAACTCTTCCTTCTAGAGCTGCCAAGGGCAGGTGGCCCAGAACAGCCTAAGTGTAAAATCTCACCACAAACCATACCCATGTTATAGTAGAAATGGGTCCAATTAAAGCAACTCAACCAAAGTCACTGGGACAGAACCCAGACCTTTCCATGCTTTCCTCCTGACATTACCTATGTTTTCCCCAACCGACAGTCCACACACAGCTGTACACAATCCCAACCAGCGACTCCAGATACCCAGTGTCCACGCCCACTGCAGGGAGTTAGAACTAAGTGTGTATGCTTATGACATCAGCTCTGAAATTAAAGCAACTCAACCAAAGTCACTGGGGCAGAACCCAGACCTTTCCATGCTTTCCTCCTGACATTACCTATGTTTTCCCCAACCGACAGTCCACACACAGCTGTACACAATCCCAACCAGCGTCTCCAGATACCCAGTGTCCACGCCCACTGCAGGGAGTTAGAACTAAGTGTGTATGCTTATGACATCAGCTCCAAGGCAGCCCTGACCTCATCTTTGGCAGGTGCTGCCACCTCACATGGCAGCTCCTGTTCTTGAGCCATCAACGCCAGAAGCTTTCGGATCAGAACCATGTCCTTCATGACAGCCTGCAAGTTCACCGTCTGGCCATTGGTAAACATCTGGTCCCCCAGGCGATTGACAGGGCGATATCTGCAGGGGGACACATGGAACCAGTGAATGTTTAGCGTGGGGGGTCATGTTCTTCAGCCTCTCACCCACCCCCACTATAAGCAATTCACACCCCACCACACTCGAGACAACCAACATTCCTACTGCGTTGAGGAAAATACTGCCACACCTGCAACCTGGAAGCAAAAGTGCTGCTCTATTTCTCGGTGCCCTTCACCCTTCCATCCTCTCCCAGCGGTCATCATTCGATTACTCAATACATCTTTTATGGGTGAAATAAAGTCAATTAAAGGGCATTACCTTGAGGGAGGCACCACTAAGAAATCCAGAAAGAACATACTGGGGCTGAAACTAGACTCCATGCCAACATCTTCCAGTCCCGAAAAAAGGAAATTCAGAAAGAATCCTGTGTTTGAAACGAAACAAAAAGATCATTTAAATCTATTAGGGCACAGATGGCTGAAACATTTTATTAGGTAAAGGGAAAAAAGTAAACGAGAATATAGGATGATACGTAATAAAATCACTTTTGATATAAATGAGCAAAAAATAGCCTCTGGGTGTTGACAGCCTACACACAGATTAAAGGACGGTTTAGGGATGAGTACCACAGGGACGACAGTGCTTAGCCCAGGGACTGAGATGGGCAGACAAGGGGAACAAAAACCTTCACTTGTTGCTTATTATCCTCCTGGACTATCAGACTTACACACACACACACACAAATTATTTTGGTATTTATAAAAAATATATTTGAAATATGGAAAGAAAAAAAATCAAACTAAAAAAAGCCTTCTTAAAAACAAAACAAAAACTTTTTACAACAATGCTACCAAGAAGGGATCTTCTGTGGATTCAAAGGTATTATTTTAAGTATCTGATGACCACAAACAAAACACACACACACACACACGCACACTACAGACAAAGAATAAAATGTGTTAGCGCCTGCCACAGGAACGATCACACTACATTGAGTGCCCTTTTTCTCCTTGACATCACTTATCCCTTTAGCAATATTTTCATTTTTTAAGTGCTTATCCTTACACATGGTCACTTCCAGTGTTCTCAAATACAATCTCAGAGGGTGGGTGACGTGAAGGCTTGAAGATAACTGCATAAGTTTTGTTATACACTCAAAAGGAAATGGAAGATTTTCCTTTTCGTAGGGAATTAAAATATATAAAAATACCAATAAGAAAAGACTTATTTAATGAGTTAATTTTTTGATTCATAGAATGAATTCCCATAGAAACTTTTAAAAATAAAAACCTTTTATTTACGGGCATTGAAAATAAGGTGTATTACACTGAACCTTCTAGAAATATGTCAAAAACTGTATTAAGCAGCTGTCATTTAATGACCAAGCTCAGTTACAACAATCATCAAATTCATGGTTCGAGGTACAAGACCATTCTATAATGTATCAGTGAAGGCTGAAGCCTGCTCTGAACCTATGAATTAATTTTAGCAGAGATCTATAATAATTACAACTTTGAAAAAATAAAAATACGGCACGATAAATGAATCCGGGAAGTTAAGTTAAAGCAAGGAGAAGATAACGGGCTATTTCTTTAGGCTGGTACAGCACCTTCATTCTTCCAGAGGGCACTAAGATGGTCTCGTGCGCTGGTGGGTGTTAGGTAGCCTCGTTTTCCCATCTGAGCTTCCTCAATTCCTAGAGCCGAGGAGGGGAATCAAAGCATAATACAATTACAGGTACTCCTTTGTAATAGGATTTAGCAATTCTTTCTCCCCACCCTGCCAAGCGTGCAATTTAACCACAAAAATCAAACTCTAGGACAGCATATTCTCAGCTCTATTTTCCCCCATAATCTAATATCTAAAGTAATGAAAACAATATAACTATGTATAAAATCAACAGAGCAAAAGAAAAAATCATCCACCATTCTATTACATTATATCACTTATATCACTTTTACATATTCTTTTCCAGTCCTTCGGTTTCAAGTGTTTTAGATAGGTGTCATCTTAACTGTGGATCTACTTTGTATACGACTTTGCTCATTTAGTGTCTTCTTATGAGCATTTCCTCATGTTACCACATAGCTTTTGCCTGACCATCATTTTTAATGGCTGCATAATATTCTGCTGAAGAGGATGTTTTCCTAAGTGGTTTAACCATACCCTTATAGTTGGATATGTAAGTTGATTCAGGTTTTTACTGTTATAAGTAACATTATAATAAATAACTTTATGCACATGGCTTTTTTGCCAGAAATGTTCACAGAAAGAGAATTATAGATGAGTATGAGTATTTTTATGGGTAAATGTATATTTAATTTCTTCTTACATATATCATGCTGAGGTGTGAGGAGCAGATTGATTTTGGTTCCTCAGATCAAGCAAGATCCCTCCGGGATACTCTCAGTTATACCCAGGCTAACTCAGAATATCAGATCTGGGGCTGCCACTCAGGTCGGGCTCCAGGCATTCAGATGGTTAACAAAGATATAAGTAATGTGATCCTCTGAGTTCAAAACTATCAACTTCAGTGGGTGGCTCCATAGTGTAACAGTTAGCGCATTTGCTTTACATGCAGGAAGTCCTGGGTTCACGCCCCAGGTGGAGCCATGGACCATACCCCGGGTGCGCCAGGCCCCAGGTGTGTGCTGCGAGCTTGTGGGGGGAGACTCCCTGCCTTCAGAGATCCAGTTCTTAAAAAAAGGGAGACAGCAACATCCATAGGTCAGGGGTAGAAGTGGAGGGTGGGGGGAATTAAAGAAGGGGGAAAAAAAAGCAAAAAAAACAAACAAACAAACAAAAAAACTATCAACTTCAGGACTACATTCACAAATATTAAATATTGCTCAGTTTTCCCTTTTTATATACTTATCAGGGCAAGAACACCGTCGTGTCTATGTTCACAGCACCAGACACAGTATCTAGTACACTGTGTCAGATAAAAAGTCACTGCCTTGAATATGAATGTTCAAAATATCTTAAGATAATCTATACTTAAAAATCTCACTCTTTTGCCTTTTTCCATAGTTTTAAAATCCAGCTTTATTCCACCTCTAATTCTCCAATTAGTTTCTTTACCATCTGCGGAGATTGTTATCACAAGTTCTTAGAGAAATCTGTAACTTAGATAACAATTAATAGATATGCCATAATTTAGTTAATTATTCTCTTATAAACAGGCATTTAAGTTATTTCCAATTTTAAACTATTTAAACAATACTGTGGGTATGTCTAATTCTTAGGATAAAGTCATGGAAGCAGAATTGCTAGGTCAAGGAATCTACACATTTAACAACTGGATTCCTAATAACGCAAAACTTTTCAACCAGTTAATGCAATTGAAGGAAGTGTGGGTATACAATGAAAAAAGGCTCTGACCATTAGGGATAATCACAGTATTGTATGTTCAGTGGGAAAAAAAGACCCCATTAACCTAAAGAACAATTTTGTGGGCATTTCTGGAAACAACTATCTGAACTTCCTTTCGTACCGAATAGGCTTGAAGGGCTGAGGAAGATCAGCTAAATCTGGTGGTGCTCTCCAGCTGCCGTCTCAGAGCTGTCAGTACATGAAGTGCCTCCACCACGGTTTAACCTCCATGAAGGCAGACTGGGGTTGTTCAATCACAAGATCTGAGTCAGAAGTGACCTGCAGGAAGCTACCGCCTCGCGTGGGCCGCACCCCTAACAAGTCACTTTCACAGTCTACAAAAAATGAAATCCGCCTAGATGGGAGTTCAGAACATCCCTAAAGTGTGTTTCATTCAGCTCTAAGAGCTGTCATGAGAAAAAGGGGGTCGGGAGGTCAAATAACTTGGAGAAGACTGGATCACACTTGGCGGAGTGTCTTGGCTATAAGAATTCTCATTTAAAAATGTTAGTGTGCACTATGGGGCTCAAGGAGCACTCTGGAGCATTTGTAGCATTTCACGAGCTATGGCTCTCCTTGTGGGATGAGTTGTTAGTGGAGACCACGGAGGCACAGTCACTGCTTGGCTCCCTTTGGTACCAGGAATGTGGCCAGACCCTTGTTCAGAATGCTCACCTACCTCCACATCACCTGCTCCCTAGAGTTACTGACCTGTGACTCTTGCAGCCTCCTCTGAGAATGGAGGCCACATGGCCAGGCCTCTACCTTGGCACTGTGCTCAGCCACAAGTGTGTTCTTAGCACATGGCTGAATGCCCAAAAAGTAAACGTTTGTTAACCCAATCCTAGAGCCATAGAAGACTACTGTTGACTTGATTCTAATGCACGGACATTTGGCTGGCATCATCATCATATTCCCAGAGCTGCAGTGAGCGATTACTTCAAAGAATGGATTTGACAAAAGCATTGAAAGGTTACTTAACTGCTAAATATTAGCCCCAAAGAAACAGTTATCTTCTAGAAATCTGATCATCTTTGTTCTCAATCTGTGAACATTTTCTAAGGCATCGTAAGGGATAGAGCAACAGTTCCCAACCTCAAAAATCATTTTAAGGACTATTTACAGGTAAGTGCAGGAAAATCCACCCTGTGGTCAACTGCAAACTGTTAAAATTAAATAGGCTTTTAAGTGCAGTGTGGTATCCTGGATTAGATTCTGGAACATTAAAAGTATGTTACTGGAAAAACTGGAATACTCAAACACAATTTGTAATTCCATTAATAGTAGTGTACCAATGTTAATTTCTTAGTTTTGACAAATGCACCATGGTGATCTAAAATGTTACATTAGGGCAAAGTGAGTAAAGAGCATACAGGAAACTTATTTGATTTTATTAACCAATGTCACCTCAACAATTTTAATTAAAAAAATATATATGTAGATGGGAATTCTCTGTGCTACCTTTGCAATCCTTCTATAAGTCTGAAACTAGTCTAAAATAAAAGGCTTTTTCAAAAGTAATAAACAAGTTTGTTAGTGCTGTGGTCTGAATGTTTGTGTCTCCCATGTTTCATGTGTTGAAATCCTAACCTCCAAGCTGATAGTGTTGGGAGGGTGGGGCCTCTGGGAGGTGGTTAGGTCATGAGGCTAGAACTCTCTTGCCCCTTTCTGTGAGGTAATAGGGAGAAGTCAGCTATCAATGAGGAAATGGGCCCTCACCAGACACTGAATTTGCCAGCACCCCAATCTTAGATTTCCCAGCCTCTGGAACAGTGACAAATAAATGTATGTTATTTATAAGCCACCCCAGTCTACGGTATTTTTTGCAAAAGCAGCCCAAACAGACTAAGACAGTTATTTACTCCACGCCTTGCCAGAGTCCTCAGTATAAAAGACAGACTATGCTTCTCGAGGAGAATTTACTTTTCTGCCTCTTTCACCTTCTCAAGCTCTGGCATAAAGTTTAGTAACAATACGCTATGGATTTTCACTCATGAAATTTCCTAAACTTTGGGCAAGAGGTTTCGTTATTGCTACTAAATAGAGTTAGAAACTGAGGCTCCAAAAAGTGACCTTCTCTAATAAGGCTAGTTAACTGCTAGACCCACTCAGAATAAGTAGCAGAGTAAGGTGTCAATCACAGGTCATGCTTTTCCCATCCTGGCACATTGACTATTCAATAAAAATGAATAGTTTACATCTACAGAGCACATACTACATAGCAGGTACTGGTCTTAGTACTTCAAATGGAACACCTTATTTAATCTTCACCACTTAAAAAAAAAAAAAATTAAACAAACTGACTACTACAAAAACAAAAAATCAGGAGTACTAAGCCAGTCTGTCATTTTTTTTCCTCAAGTATCCCAAGGGTAGAACAGAGCTGAGGAAGACACTCTACCCCAGGAATTTAGTGGACAACCAGGAGCAGCCTGTAGGAGATGCTGATGTTCTTTGATCATAGTTCTTTCAAATTCACCTACATTTTACTTCAAAATAAATCCACACTGGTTTGACAAGAAAATGGTTCTAAATATTTGCCAAGCATATTACTTACCTTTTTCTTTCAAAATCTTTCAGAAAACCACCACCTGAAGCAAAAGTCACCTTGTTCAGCCCACAGGGCACTATCTCATAATGCAGCCCAGCTCATTAGCTGTGAGAGGCCAGGGCTGGGCACCCTCACCAGAATCCCCTCTAGTCCTAAAAGGCCTGGACACAGATCTGTTGCTGGCCCACCACAAGCATGCAACTGAGAAACAGGGCACAGAGGACCAGGTATTCCCAAGGTTTGAGAAATCTGATGACCATGCATGCATGGGAAACATGGCTGAGGGCCTCCCAGCGCTTGCTTACCTAGGGGCTCTGTGTCCTTCTGGCCAGCCTTCTTGTGCACCATGGCTGGATACGTGATTGTCAGTTTGCTGTTATGCTCCTTTCGGACAACTGACCGCCCAGTCCTAGACATGAGGACAGTTGTGATTGAGAAGAGAAAAACCCAATAGGACATTAACAGCTATGAGTGACTGGCCAGAGGCTTTCACCTCAGGAAAGGGAAAGACAAGAGCCCCAATACTCACTTGCAGTGGGGACATCGCTTAGCAGTCATATGTGCCTTCCAGAAGTAAGTAATGAGATTGCTCTTGCTCTCACAGACATTTTTCACCTGTTTAAAAACGGCAAAGAATCTCGGAATGCCATTTGAAGAGAATCCGGTAGGTATTCATTTAGTGGTTTTCACTTTTTTTGAAAAATCAGAGGAAGTCACCTCCTTTCTCAACAAAATGTCCCACAGAACCCTAATATAGCCAGGCTCTGCCAACTACTAAGAAACTTCTTAAGTTTCCTCATTCATAATATGGGAAGAAGAATAGTAACCACTTTACCAAGATATTACTAAGATAAAGAGATTATGAATGCACTAAGGGGACTTGGAACAAAGTAACTACTCGATAAATGCTAGTTACTTTTACTTTACTTTACAACCAACCTCTCTAGATGCAGTGGGAGTTCCCTCCCTGCTGCCTCCCCCAGATGTACCTCAAGGTTCTGAGAAAGGTACATCCACAGTTAAGCTACATGAGTGGTTTTGGGCCTGGCTGCAAATGAAACCCACTTGGGAGCTTTTGTAACTTCCACTTGGGCCAACCCTAGACCATTTAAATTGGAACCCCTGGTGTAAAACTTGGGCACAGGGGGAATCAGATTTCAGATTAGTCCTGTAGGTTGATTCTCTACATCACTGATTCACTGAACAAGTTAACACTTACAGAGGTGCTATAGGGGAATAGGGAGGCAGCGGTGGTTTATACTGTTAAAGAGAAAGGGGAAGAAGACATGGACCTTATTCTCAAAGTGAAACTGTAAGCCAGAGCCTTGCTGGACACTACCTAATTTCATCCAATCTTCTCATCAGTCCTGTGGGCAGGCTTCGAAGATGAGAAAATGGTGTCTCAGGGACAGTTATGCAACTTGCAAGGTCACAGGCCTCATAAGAGGCAGAGGCAGGATTCAAACCCTACCAGGTCAACTTTGGGAAGCCAAAAGTATGCATGAATGACAGTGCTAAAAACCGAGTTTTCTGAGAAAAAGAGAGCCAGGATAACTCACATGTGCACCCTGGGATCCCAGGAGGTTGTTCTGTACAATTTTGGTTGTATATCGTTCTAACTCTTCCTGAATTTCAAAGGCAGTAGGGTCAGAGTTTTCTTCCAGAAACTGAAAAACAAAGCAGAAAAACCATATTATCAAAGTAAAGCAAGCAAAGGATTAGCAGCACCACGGGCCAGCCTCGCTAAGGCGGCAGAATTTAGTTTGAGGGGAGAGAAAGAAATCTCATGGCTGCGATGCTGCATTCTCAAAGCAGTGAAGCTGTTAACTTAAAACTGAAAAGAATCAAGGAATTTTGAACTTCTCATTTTGGAGGCCTCAAATGATGAAGGGGATAGAAATCAGAGCCTAGAGCAAGTACAAGGATAGGAATTTAACAGGATGCTTTCCCTCCCAGAACGACACCACAAGCCCTCGAATAGAACACCTGCATTCCAGTCACCCAGCAGTCCCACAAGTCATCACCTTTGACCCTGGACTGCGATGGTCCCAGGCACCAAGCACATGACATAAGCAATAAGAAGCCTCTTTGGAGGAAGGCAGCAGTGCCCTAGGCCTCGAATTATTCTTACAAAGAATTTTTTACATACAATGATAAACCGTCAAAAATAAGCACACGAGGTCAGAGGAGCGTTTCTGGGGACATAGACAATATCTTGACATTGAAGGTGAGTACATGGGTGATAGTTACTTTTGTAACTATTTGTTAGATTGTTATGTATGATTAATGCATTTCTGTGGGTGTATTTTACAAAAAAAAATTTCTTAAGATAGGTATCACGAATAATTTTATGCCAATAATTTTGAAATTTTAAATGAAATGGAAAAATCCCTAGAAAAATATAGCTTACTCTGAGTAAAGGTTTAAGAAAATCAATCTGTCTCTGTCTCTGTCTCGTCTCTGTCTCTGTCTGTCTGTCTGTCTCTCTCTCTCTCTCTCTCTCTCTCTCTCTCTCTCTCTGTCTCTTTTGGACAAGTTTGATTTTGGGTTAACTTTTTAGTTCCATTCCCTGGAAATCTGATAACGGTGGAAATATCAATTGTGTTATTAGGCAGCACTGCTGATGGTAAAAGTGACCTCTACTGGCTAGACTGCATCTGAACTTGGAAGACTACGAATAAACCACAACCACCTAGTGGGAAACCACACTCTGGGCTTTGCTGATGCTAAAGAGGCATGTCCTTGAGGGTCTCCGGGAGCTGGGGCCACAGAACTGTCACAAAAGAAACTGACTCCTATCCAAGGCATAGGCCTCTATTAGTGTGGCTCTCATGTCCACTGGTATACTCCATTCTTTTGCTCTTGAATAGTCAGTCAGCCACTTGGAGAGTCAAAGACTAGCCCCTTGCCAGCTATGAGGACACCCACTAAAGGGAAAGTATCTGGTAGCACCCTGCTGGTGTACTGTCTCCCATCTTACCTGGACACTTTTAGAGCACTTAAAGAAAGAGAACTCCCTAACTCGTTTCACGAGGCCAACATAATTTAGATAACAAAATTCAAAAGAACAATATGGGAAAGGAAATTTATAAACCAATGTCACTCATGATCATAGGTGCAAAAATCCTAAGCAAAATCTTAGGAAATCAAATCCAACAACATATCAAAAAGTTAAATTATCAAGAACAAGGAATCCCAGGAATCTAAGGTTAGTTTAACATGAGAAAAGGAACTGAGTAAAGCACCAAGTGATCTGGTTAGAAGAGAAAAGCTACCTGAAACTTTCAGTAAGTTCAGAAAAAATGTTTGTAAAATTCAACATTCAGCTATCTTAGCAAAATAGGAGTAGAAAACAGTTTCCTTCATCTGATAAAAAGACTCTATAAAAGTTCGGCAAATGTTATACTTACTGGTGATATGCTGAACTGTTTCCCTGTTGTTATTCTTTTTTTGATATAATTTATTCTTATATTGACACACTCTCAAATTCACTCACAGAAAAGATGCAAGTACATATAACAAACCTTTTTTCCTTGAACCATTTGAGAGTAAGTTGTTGACCTAATGTCCCATCATGCCCAGATACTTTAGTGAACATTTTCTACAAACAAGAACATTTTCTAATATGATACAATAATCAAAAACCATAAATTAACTCTAATAAGTTACTACTACCTAATCCTCAGATACCATTTAAGTTTTGCCAATTCTCCAATAATGTCCTTTATAGCAAAAGTACCCAGTTCAGAGCCAGCTGTCTCTTTAGTCTCCTTAGTCAAACTTTGAAGACATTAATACTTTGAAGATTAAAGGAGAGTTAAATTTGGGTATGTCTGATGTCTCCTTGTGATCAGATTCAGCTCCTGCATCTTTGGCAGGAAAATCCAGAAGTGATGCTCAATTATTGCATTAGGTGATGTTCGCTTTGCCACTTGAGTAAGGAGGTGACTGCCAGACTTCTCCACCGTGAAGTTATTCTTTCCCTCCTCTTTGTAATTGGTAAAGATTATGTGTGTGGGGGGTAGTACTTTGAAATGTATAAGTAGCCTAATATTTAAATTTTCAGTTCATTTATTTATAGCAGTATGAACGCATAGAATTCATGGGTTTCTACATTATTCAATGGGTTATAATAGTTTACTATCATCATTCATTTTGATGCTCAAACTGTCTTAGATTTGGCCAGTGTGAGCCCTCTAAGCCAGCTACTGTGTCCTTCTGACATATCCCCATCATTCTTTGAGTACCTCCCTGCTCTCTGGCACAATATTCCAGGTTCATCTTGTACTTTCTGCATCAGCTGTAGAATTAGCCACTTATCCAAAGAGCCTTTTTTGTGGTGAATGGTATTTAGACGCCGAGACATAGGCACTGGGTGTGTTCATTGCTACCACTGCTCCAAGACCCTCTCAGGGACAGAACTAGGGAATATATGCGTGCACACACACATCCCTTTCACACTGACACTTTTAACTCCATTCTAACACTACAGGATTAATTCTGGGTCTTCTCTCATTCACGTATTTGTAACTTCCTCCTCTGATAGTGTGAAACCTGGCTGGCATTATCCTTACTATCTGTTCTTATTTGATCAATCCCCTTCCCTGTATTTAACCACTCTCCCATCACTGCCTCTATTCCCCCTCCTCCCCCCCCGTGCATGGCCCCCCCTCACCCGACTTGGGCTCTCATTCCACTCCAGGCCACCCTCTTTGGGACCCTTTCCTCACCCTGTTTGGGCTCTCGTATCTCACACTGGGCTATCCAGCATGGGTACCTTCATACCTGACCTGGACACCTAAATCCCATGCTGAGCCTTTATCCCAAATGAATATTCTCCTCACCCTATTTGAGTTCTGACATTCCACACTGGGCTGCCTGTACATGCACACGCTGTCTCTCCTTGAATGCTTTTCTCATTTTGCTGGAACTCTTTCAACCCACATCAGGCCACACCTCCATGTTGAATCCTATCTGCTCGGCCCATTAAGTGTCTGAAGAGTCTTTAAGACTGAGTTATTCAGGAAAGAGCAGAGGAAAGATGAAAGGTTTCCTTTTCTGAGGAGAAACGAAGAGGAGGATGCATGCTACTCCTTCAACCTCTAGCCACCAAAATTAGGTAAGCAAAAGAAACAAGACATATAAAGATTGGAAAGAAATAAAACTGCTATTATTCACCAGTGATGATTAGGTTGAAAATCTAAGAGAATGTACAGATAAAGTATTAGAATTGATGAGATGCTTTTGCTTGGTTGTTTCATACAAAATTTAATATACAAAAATTTGTAATATTTTGATCTACAAACAGAAAATGAATTTTAAACATTTATAATAACACCAAAAAATCTGAAGCAATTATTAATCACAAAGAAGTAAAAAGCTCTACAATAGAGAGATCTGGTGGTGATCACCATCTTATCCAAATAATCAAAGTAAGCACTATCAACAGAACAATGTGACAGCACCTGCTTCTCGAAATGATGCAATACAAAGTATCCTGAATCATGTAGGTTGTATTCTTACCAAAATGTGAATCTAATGAGGAAATAATGAGACAAATTCAGGATATGAGAAATCCTACGAGACAACTGGACTTGAGTATTCAAAAAAAAGTCAGTATCATGGAAAAGAATTTTCTATGTTTAAAATGCCCTACACATTAAGCAATGCATGAACCTTGAGTGAATCCTGGTGGGGGAGGGGAAGTTCACCAATGGTTAAAATGATTTTTCTATATAGTTTTCATGAACTTTTCTTAAATTATCCTATGGCTTCATGTTTTCACATATAGCTATTGATATCTAGCTATAAGACATAAAGATCAAACATGCTGGTGGCCATTCCTAGGGACTACACACAAATAGCTCTTATTCCCACCATTTCTGCTTGCCTGATTTCCATGACAGCCACTACCCACCTACCCTGTTCAGAATTCTCTCCAGCTCATATACTGCTTGAAGCGCTCCAACTTCCAGCACTCGCAGCTGGCAGAGTAGGAGGTGAATCACAGCCCGGGGGCAAGTCAGCATGTGGCAGTTTAAACAGGAGCCCCGGAGCAACAGGTAGAGCTTCTGAAGAAGGAATAGAAAGCAGGGTATTAGAAAGAGATGTAGTAGCCAGGGTGATTTTCAATATACTTACAATTTTTGTTTTTATGTAGTCAGTTTATTCCCTTAAGAATTCCACTATAGGAGGGGGGAAAGGGGAGGGGAAAAAATAAATAAAATGTTAAAAAGGACTATAGAAAGGACTTCGTGACCTTAAGAACTAGATAAATATTCCTCTACAGAGAAATCATTTTCTCTATGATTTTATTTTAATCCATTAAAATTTGAAATTTACTTTAGGTCTAAAGTGAGGAACTACCTTTATTTAACTAAGTACTGAATACTAAATTTAATATTTAAATAACTTTAAATTTAGGATGTAAATATTAAATTTGAATTTAAATACCTACTATTTAATTAAGACAATTCTCTTTCCTTAATACGATTAACAGCCAAAAATTATGTCCAGGTACACTATCACCTGTATAGCTTAAAACAGACCCTGGGGGCTAGGGTAACTAATGTGTACTGTTGATAATGCACAAGTAGGACTCCAGACAGGAGCTTCATTCATAGCTCACTCTTGGCCCTTTGGGGCTTTGTTCCTCTGGACACCTAGCAGGAGCCTACTAAGTCACCTGAAGAGCTCCAGAAAGCCTGGAGAACTCTAAAGGTTACTCTATTGCCAGGGGCTCCACCTAGACTTCCAAAGGGTGTGAAGCCCCTGAAACGAAGGTGCAGGGAATATATCTGAAAGCTTTCTTCCCCTCATGGGAATAGAATCAAGCTGTGGCTCTCCTCAACTGCAATCAAACTGAAATTCATTTATTTAGGGCTAGAGGCCAAGTTCAATGTGCTGGATTTGACTCCTCAAGGTTTAAAATCTCATGGTAAAGAGCACTTGAACTCAGTGTCTGCAGCTAACCTTCTCAGCCCCATCTTATGCGGAAAGGGGCAGACTCAAAGACCCCCCGCCAGCCCAAGACCCAGGAGGCCCCAAGAAGAACGTACATCGAAGAGGAGAGGGTTGTACACTGTGAGGGGGAGCTCAATATGGCCCAGGTGGCCAGCGCAGTTGCTGAAGTCCTGCACGCAGGTAGAGCACACCTCTCTGGAATCTGCAGGGCCCAGAGCTAAATCATACAAGCCGTTCACCGACGGGTTCCCCAGGCTGTCCAGGTACCGAGGGTTCGTAATAGATTTAACACTCAATTTCCTAAGGAGATAAAAATAAATAAGTAAGTAAGTAAGTAAATAAATAAATAAATAAAATAAGGGAAAATGAAAGTTACCGATCTTCTCAAATGCTTTCTCTTCGGTGCTTACAAGACTGCAGTCAAGTAGAGATAGAGAAGTGGCATGAGAACTACACGAATTGACTAAATATTACACTGGGTTGTATTCAGAGCCTGATATGTTCTGCTAGACTTGGGAACCTGGCTGATCAGCCATACAGC